TTTCAGTTTTTCGCCAGAAATAAAATTTCCTTTTTTGGTCTTGTGTAATATTGGCGACGAATAGGAGTAGGGTTACACAATTCAAATGACTTATTTATATGGTTAATCTAAACATAATGCCCACGTGATTGCAGTGTTTTTTAATATATAGAAGATAGATAAGGCCGTTCCAACTTGATTATTTGTTTAACGTCCACCACCCCCTCTATTTTTTTAAAAATTTGAGATCTAATAAATATATATTATTAAATACCTCCTCTATTTTTGAAAAAATTTAAAAGCTAATAAACATATAATGATAAATAATCCCTTCTGAAATTTTCAAATTTTCCTATGTTTATTTATTTAGTTTGTTTAACTTAAGCCCCCTTCCCCCTTAATTTTTTCAAAAGGTCTGGATGTTAAACAAACAATTAAGTTTTAACAGCCTAATGATATTCATGGATATTCCCATAAAATAACTGTTTATCCTCTGGAGACTAATGTCCTGTGATAAAAATAATTTATAAAAAGCTTATTTTATTACATTTTTATTATAAAAAGCTTATTTTATTTAAAAACATGTCACATCTAAACTTGCCCTTAAAAATTTATTCATTATTAAAAATGCCTAGAAAAAGCTGCAAGAATTCCAAGTTTTTAAATCTGTATTTACTAGTGCAAAAAATTTAGAAATCACAGCTTCTACTCCATTTCAGGTTGATTCTTTTTTTCCAAAATATTCAAATTCAACTTCATCTCTTAAAGAAAAACTTGATTTTTATTATCAGAAGACTAAGTACAGTCAACTCTTGTTATAACGAACCCTAGGTTCCAGATCCCAACTTTGTTATAAGGCTATAGTGAAGATTTTAAGAGATTTGATTAGTTAATTCGTTATAGTAAGGGGAAATTTATTATAGTTGTTTGAAAAATTCGCTATATTAAGGGTTTGCTATATCAAGGTTTGACTGTAATGCTAAAGTTACAAATACTGAAAGTCAAATCAAAATTGGATTATTCAGTTTGAAGAATTTCACAAGGAATACAATTATATTATACTACTTGAACAAATCACAGATTCCAAACTAATTGAAAAGCAAGTCTGTGAATATATTCTCAAATATTAAAAAAGAAAAATTCTGGCAAATATAAAGCAAAATCAATAAAACAAGCTGTTAATACTATTAATCATTATTTGGTAAAAATTTCTCCAATTCATAGAATTATTAATTTATATAACAAATATGAATTTCCAGATTTATTATAAACTGTATTAAATAGTAAAATGAAATATCTGCAAAAAAATAGATTTGGCAAAAAAGAAGAATCAATGGCACTAACTGCACAACAAATTCAAAAAATTCTTGCTGATGAATTTTTTAATTCAAACACTTATGAGAGTCTTTTATACCATGTATTTTTTTGAATTGCAACTAATTTTGCATATCAAGATGGAGAACATTAAGAACTTCATGTTGATCAATTCATTTTTCACCTAATGGTAATTTAATTTTTTTGCCAGTATCACAGCAAAAATAATTAACGTGAAATTAAAGGAGGTTCAGCAAAGGATATTTATCTTTCTTTAGATTTAAAAGTAATTACAAATATTAATAAATATCTTTCAAAATGATCTAGTGATACTCCTGAAAATTTTTACTTACAAGTTAACTCATTTTAGCATGAAAGTGGTATTTAGTATAGGAAAATATACTGTGGAGTTAATAGAATAGGAAATTTTATAAAAAACATTGGAAAATCAGTAAAAATAGATCTTCTACCTAGCATTTTAATGAATTACTCTAGTTGTAAAACTGTTATGCAAATTCTTCAGGATGCTGATATGCTGAAAGATGCTATAAGATGCTATAATGGAAGTAACAGATCACAAAAGTATTTAAGGTATTTATACATATAAAGAAGTAAATGAAAATATCTTACTACTATAAATACTTTAATTCATACTATAGAACTATTAAGATTTTTAATTCTTGATAATTCAATAAATACAGTCAAACCTTGATATAGCAAACCCTTAATATAGCGAATTTTTCAGATAACTATAATAAATTTCCCCTTACTATAACGAATTAACCAATCAAATCTCTTAAAATCTTCACTATAGCCTTATAGCGAAGTTGGGGTCTGGAACCTAGGGTTCGTTATAACAAGAGTTGACTGTACTAATATTACTGATATATCTATTAGTAAATATAGGATAAATAAATATTATACATATAATACCAAAAATACTTATAAATATCATATGTTAATCAATACTAAATTAAAAAATTATTTGAATTACAGAATATTAAGATTTTAACTTTTTTTGAAAAAAATCATCATAATTATATAAACATTGTAATATTCTAATTATCTGTAATTTAATTGAATAACTTTTTAGTAATTATTACTTTTAAATGATTGGTAAAATTTTCTGATTATTGTAAAATTATAAAAAGTATAGTAATAAAATTTCTTCTTTTAAATATTTGAAATTTAAATATGAAAAAATAATTTTTTTACTTTAAAAAAAAAAATCTTTTTCTAATTGTAATCTTATCCAATGTATTTATCTATAATTATAAATATTTAAATAATATTTTATTTATCCAATAAAATCTATAATAAAGTAAATAATAATAAGAATCAGTGATTAGGGTACTATCAAATATTACCTAATATTTTAAAGAAAGGAGGATAACTAAAGATTTTAGGTTATATACAATACTATATAAGGAACTATATATATAATATATTTTACTTAAAGGAAGAAGGATAAGCTTTTATATTAAAGTGATATTAGGTAATATCTAATAACACCTTAATATTATTTGCTAATATTATGAAGTTTAAAAAAAACTCTTTCCTGTACCGTTCACGTCCATTTTTCACACAAGAAATATTACGCTTTTTTCTCGTTAAATTACTAGAAAAATAGCACTTCAGTATTAAGACAAAAGTGTTCCTTAGTTTAAACAACACACTTTTTATTATCACTCTTTTCAGTTCGAACAAATTCACAAGGGCTTAATAGTCCTTTAAAGACATAAAAGTTTTGTTTTCTTGCGAAATTTTTCAAAAGAAGGCATAAATACGGCGCACCAATCAGATAAAGATGCCGAATAAAGAAATTTTTATCGGCTATACTTTTTCCCATCCAGAAAAAGTGAAACGGTATACGGGGGCTGATACGATATATTCCACCAGAAAAGAAAAGTCCTATATCCTTTTGCATGTGGATTCTTTACAAAAAGAGAAAGATATGTTGACGATTGTTACCAACAATAGACATATAATAAAGAAATATGATAAGCCTTATTTGATTAATTCAGATCGGCCTATGATGAATACTAAATACAGGATTTCAAAATACTTGACAAGTGTATTTTGTGGGTTACTTATTGACATAGAAACTAGAAACAAGTATTTTTTAAGAATACGTCAATTATTATTGGATAAACTTGTAGTTATTGAAAATAGATTGATGAAACAAGAAAAGAACAGGCAAACTACAACTTATATTAAATTTAATCATGGTAAACGAATATGGTATTTGGGGTTCTATATCCCATGCTCGTTTTGTAGTAACGTCTGTGCTTACGTAATGTCAAGAAATAGAAAAGTTTGTCAAAATTGTCGTTCAAAGGTGATAGTGACTTCTACACCTCCGCCGCAAAATGTGTTTAAGAATTTTAGTAAAGTTAAACAAGTAATAAGTAAACGCATAGGCGTGTCTAAGGTTGCTTGTCTAAACCTCTTCAAAATCCTACGATTAGTTTCGTCAAAATTTTACTATAGATTTATTATAGTTTTGGCAGAGTTTTTGCAGTTTTTGCATTTATAATAAGTTTCGGCAGTTTCGCCTTTCTCCAAAGTTTTGCCAGTTTTTTAATATAACTTTAATATAGTTTCGGCAGAATTTCACTTTTCGGCGAAACGCCATCTTGCCTAAACCCTACATCAGGAAATTTGTTTAGGCGTAATTTAGTGTAATATTTCGAAGGTGGTGTAAAATTTCGAAATATTACACTAAAAACGTAATATTACAAAAGTTTACGCTCTTAAATTTGAATAATT